AAAGTTTGTTCTAGAAAAGGATGAATATCCTCAGTTTCAGTCTCAGCTGAAGACCAGGGATTGGGCAACTTTTGGAAGAATATTGGGTGATAGCAGCCCTAACATAGCAAGGGAATTCTTTGCTAATGCGTTTAATGGAGATCAAGGAGGCCAGAGGACCTTCACTAGCTGGGTGAGGGGAAAGAAAGTGAAGTACGATGCTCACACCATCCAAAAGCTGCTGAAGATAAGGTTTTGTGACTATATCAATAATGCCAGTTGTGAGTTCAGGAAGAACTGGCAGAATATTGAAATTCCACCAAGGAGGAGTGACCCAGACTTTGAAACCTGGACCAAGATGGGGGCAGCTGAGCCTATTTTGCAGACTATAGCCAAACCTGGTGAAACTTGGGAGTTAACCAAGGATAAGGTTGCTCCTAAGTTGATTTGGTTGAGGCATTTAAATGGTGAGGCTAGAGTCTGGTTTCACTTTGTAATCTCAAATGTCATGCCCTCTTCCAACCAGGCAGAGGTCATCCTGAAGAGAGCTGTCCTGATTCACACTATCATGACAAAGGCGAAGGTGGAACTTCCTATTCTTCTTCAGGACAACATTTATGATACTCACTCTGACAGTGACTCTGCTGCTTTGGGTCACTGTTCCTTGATTCAGTTGCTTTGTCAGAAAGCTGGTGTAGATGTTACTGATAATGGGGCACCAACTAAATTGCACCCTACAATTGATGCCGCAATGATAACAAAGCAATTGAAGATAGGAGGAGGGGAGGCCACAGGATTGACTCCTGGTAGGAAATCTACAGCTCAGAGTGATGATGAATTAGAAGAGAGGCTACGGTCAGGGGAGCAATGGACGGTGAATACTGACTTCCGTATGAGACATTTGCGCAGGCGTCTCCGGTTTATGCAGTCCAGCCAGCACTCATTTCAGACATATATGGTGACGATGATGAAATCTATATGTGAGGCTCAGGGCTTAGATGTTATTGATTACCAGCCTGCTGTATACCCTCATTCTGATGAGGAGGAAGCCTTTGAGGCAATGGCCCGGACTCACTATGCTGATCATGTGGATGGAGCTGCGCCTGCTGATGGTGCTACATCTTCCCATGCTGCACACACTTCAGAGAGACAGCCTGGTGTTGATGCTACTACCACAGAGACCACTGCTGCTGCTGCTGATACTGGTGCTATGGATGAGGACAGGGGTATTGATCCTGAGTACAACCCCTTGCCTACTGCTGATCCAGGCTCATATTTGGTGTTTAGTGATGATGAAGAGTCTACTGACTAGACTCCTCATTTTGTTTTTACACATTTTCTGTTTTTATGGTTTTATTTTGGATACTTTTAGTTACCTGTGGTATTATTTTTAATTTTGTACATTTGTTAGTACATTGAGATTCTCTGTTTGAATGATGCACTTTTGAAATAGTACTGATGCTATTTGTTGATATGTGAATGTGTTTCAGAATTTGTCAACTGCTTTTTAGATTTAAATTAGTTGCTGGGGACAACAACGTTTAAATCTGGGAATGGGGTGTGAATGAATGACATGATTATGGTGGTATCACACAGTTGATGATGACACACAGTTGATGAGCCAAACAGGGAAACATCTCAATCCTTTCTTTTAAATTCTTGTGAATGTAGTTTTAGGTAGTTTAGGTAGTGTTGTATATGTACAAAGGTTGGATTTAGAGTTGAGATGATGTGAATTTTATGAGGATAGGATGATCAAAGTTTTACATGATTGATCAAAAAATTTTTGATGCAATTTGAAATCCTTGCATGTGTGCTAAATGATATGTTTGCAATACTCATGCTATGTGAGGAGTAGAGAGATCAGTTTGATGTATATAGAGGAATTCAAGCATGCACTCTGAACTGTGAGACATAGAGCCTATACAGAAAATTTTTGTTCAGAGAGCACTTCACTGTATGAGTAACTCTAGAACTTGCCCTGTTTCTAACTTGAAATAGTTCATGGTTTGTAAAGTAGAGTTTATAGAGGCATTTTTCTTTTGAACCAAATTTTCCTATTGCATGGAAGCCTTAAGCCAAACTTTTTGTGATAAAACTAAGAGCCCTGCACTTATTCCAGATCCTAAATTTTCAGATTATGTGTTCAGATAAGGGGTAAGGAGGAAAGCTCTGTTGGAGAAAGGTGTTTCTGCAATGAACAAAAATATTAAGTGTTAAGTGTTGGAAATTTGGAGAAAAAGAAGAATGAAAAAGAAAAAAAGAAGTAAAGGCACAAAGTGCTTGGTTTGGAAAAGGAAAAGAAAAAGGAAATGAGGAAAAAGGGAAATCAAAACAACACAAAGTGTTGAAAGTTGGAAGAAAAGGAGGAAGGAAGTTCAAGAAAAAGAAAAGTTGTAGAAAAGGTGGTGAAAAGAGTAAATGAAAAGGAAGAAGAGAATGAGAAGGATTAAGGAGTACATAGATAAATTCAATAGTGATCCTCCTCTTATCTGAATCTGATTCATCTATCTAACCTTCTGCAACATCAAATCCTACCTTTAGCCAACTACGTGCCAAGCCATTTTTCCTTCTTCTATACAGAATCCTATTCCTAGTCAAGTCATACCACCAAAGCCTCTTTTGTTCTGCTTATGAATCACTGTCACTATGGAAAGTGAGAAGATGGGCAAGCTTATAGTAGTTTGAGTGCAGTGGAGATTGAGTGATGAGTACACCCTTAGACACTAGAGTGCAAGAGAGTTTATTCTCACAATTTTTGAGAAGTTCCAAGTGAGGGGGTGTTTTGTGTTGAAGGTCTCTGCATTTCATCTTACTGATCTGTTGAAAGTCATTGTGATGAGGTTAAGCAAGTCATAGTAAAAGATAGATTGCTGGGTTGTTAGATTGTATCTTGGAAAGTTGATCTGTCATATTTCAATCCAACCTCATAAATTTCATGTGTAAAGAATCTCAAGTCTTTCTCTGTCTTTAAAGTTATTGCTGAGGACAGCAATATTCAAATCTGGGAATTGTGATGAACCCTTAGTTCATCATGGTTTTTAGCAGGAATTAGGATCAAATTGTGTGATTAAATGATGAAAAACAAGGTTAATGTCCTAAGATGTCCTCAATTACAAGTTCAAGAGCTTTATTGGAAATTTGTATGATTCTTGTAGGAAAAGCAAGCTTGAAAGACAACTGGAGAAGGAAGAAGATTCTGGAGCTCAAGAGGAGAAAAATTGCCTAAGTGTTGAGCGCTAAAACGTCCACACTGAGCGTTTTAGCACCCTGCTACAGGAAGAGGCCAAAACTTGCTGGTGATGAGCGCTAAAACGCCCACACAGAGCGTTTTAGCGCGCTGCTGCACTTAGAAGATGGAAAATTGCTGGTCTTGGGCGGTAAAACGGCTTGCAATAAGCATTTTAGCGCCCTAAAGTGGAAAAAGGATTCTGGTCTTCACCGCTAAAACGTCCAAATCAAGAGTTTTAGCGTTGGAGTCAGTTAAAGTCAGTTGAGCATTCACCAAGTTTGGACGCTAAAACGGTCATTCCTTAACATTTTAGCGTTGGAATCAGTTAAAAGCAGTTGAACATACGTAAAGCATGGACGCTAAAACGGTCACTTATGGACGTTTTAGCGCCCACATCAGTTTTCTGTTTTTAATTGTAACACTATATAAGGCAAAGCCTTGACACTTAGAAAGATCTCTGGATCTGAGGGATCTGAACTTTCTCTCTCTCTCTTAAACTTTAGTTTGACTTCTCTCTAATTCACTTAGGTTTTAGTTTTTGTATTAGGATTTCCTTGTAATAGTTTGGAGATTGAAGACTTTCAACATGGAAATGAAGTTTGTTTCTTCTTCTCTTATTTATTCCTTAGTCATGTCTGAGTAGAGTCTTTGTAGTCTGAATGCAATAGAACTCCATGATAATATTATGTTGATTTGATTAATATGATGAAGTATTTTTCATGTGTTGATTTGAGATTTTCTGATTTAATTATTTCTATCAAGGAAGTAATATAGAACAGGGATGTTTATATGACTTCTGTATTTGATAATCTCAACATCAGAATTCTAGTACTCAAGGTATTGATGCTAGAGTTCTGATGTAATCTTAAGACTTTAGTATTTCATGCATGTATTAAGAAAGAGATCACCAAGGGGTTGGGGTTTCTGATTAATGTATCTATCAGGGTAGTAAGGGATTACATCTTGATGATAAGTAAAAGGTTGATTAACATCACATGGAAAGGAATTCATCATATGATCAGTTTTTACATGGGTTATTATGGAGGAAAGTTGTTTTCTGACTACTTGTTGTTTTATTAATTCCTAATCCATATTTATTTTGTGTCAAATTACTTACAATCAATTTTCTGGTGACAAATTATTCATGATTTTTACAAACTCTTATATGATTCAAATTAGTTTTCTATGGTTTATTGGTGTTTGAACACAATTCCTCGTGGGAACGATCTTTACTCATCATTTTATTACTTGTACGACTAGTGCACTTGCTAAGCGTCCAACACAAGTGAAGGTGGTTTTATGTTGATCTTCTGGTGCTAGAGCAATCTGATTATATCCCGAATATCCATCAAGGAAGCAGAAGTATTCCTTACCTGCTAGATGATCCAACATCTGATCTGTGAAAGGGAGTGGGAAGTGGTCCTTCCTGGTGGTATTATTGAGCTTCCTGTAATCTTGGCAAATTCTCCATCCTGTAACTTTTCTTACAGGGATTAGCTCATTTTTCTCATTTACTTCCACTGTTATGCCTCCCTTTTTGGGAACGCATTGGACAGGACTTACCCAACTGCTGTTAGATATTGGATATATAATTCATGCGTCTAGCCATTTAATGACTTCCTTCCTTACCACTTCCTTCATTATAGGGGTTCAATCTCCTTTGGTGTTCCACTAAAAAACTGTTAGGGTCAGTCAATAATATTTTATGCATACAAAACGAAGGACTGATACCTTTGAGATCCGCTATGGTCCAGCTGATAGCTCCTTGGTACTTCTTTAGCTTGTTCAGCTACAATTCTTCTTGCTCCTTGGTGAGAAAGGAGGAAATGATCACAGGAAGGGTGTCATCGTTTCCCAGATATGCATACTTCAAGTGTTGGGGAAGAGATTTCAGTTCTAGGTGAGGAGATTTTTCTGAGGAAGGTCTTTTGAGTTGTTTTTCCTTTTCAGTTCTTATCAAAGGTTCAGGTCTTCTTTCTTGCAGATAGCAACTTTGCTTCCTTTTTTGTGGACCTCCTTCTTCTTCCTCACATTCTTCCCCTTCTGTTTCTCTGCTAAACTGGTTGTCTAACAACGTGAGGGCAAAACATTCCTCCAGATCTTCATCTTCATCTTGGAATTTCATTGCCTTGACGATATGGAATTTGATTTCATCATCATGAACTCTCATGGTCAGTTCCTTTTTTTGTACATTGATTACTGCTCCTCCAATTGCTAGGAATGCTCTACCCAGAATGATGGGAACGTCAATATCAGCTTCGTAATCCAAGATAATGAAATCAGCGGGCAAGACAAATTTGTCTACTTTGACTAGCAGGTCTTCAATCTTCCCTTCTGGCTTGACAATGGATCTGTCTGCCATTTGTAAAGTTACCGTGGTTGGTTCAGCTGGCCCAGTGGATAATTGTTTGAAGACAGATAGAGGCATGAGATTGATGCTTGCCCCTAAATCATACAAGGCCTTCCTTTGGTATGTATTTCCTATAATGCAAGGAATGGTGAAGCTTCCTGGATCTTGAAGCTTAGGTGGAAGTTTTCCCAAATACTGGCAACTTTCTTGTGTCATTTTTACAGTCTCATATTCTGTTATCCCTTTTTTTTTTAGAGAACGTCTTTCATGAATTTTTTGTACCTGGGCATTTTCTCTAGTGCGTCCACCAGAGGGATGTTAATGTGGAGTTGTTTTAAAATGTCCAGGAACTTTCCAAACTGCTTATCATCTTGTTGCGTCTTTGTTCTCTGAGGGAATAGAATTTTTGTTGGTATTTGCCTGCTTTGAGTTGGGCTAATTAGTGAACTCTTGTCCACCTGGTCTTCTCTGGTGTTGGCTTCATTCTCCGGTTCTGGATTCTGCTCATCAATGGCTGGTTGTTGCTGTTGTGCTTTCGGGGTTGTGTCAGATGCTTTGGTTTGTTCCTTTTCTTTTGAAGGAGGGGTGGGTTGTGTAGTGGCTTTCCCACTTCTTAAGGTAACATCTTTGATTTGCTCTGAAAGGGAGTTGGGTAGGGTAAGTACTTCCTTTGGTGAGGTTGTTGAGGGAACGTCAGTGTCCCCTGATGATAGTCTTGATGTTCTTGTCTTGAGATTGGCAACAATCTGTCCCAGATGGGACTCAATGTTCCTAACCACTGCATCATTCTTGGTGACATATTCTTTGACATAGCTTTCCAAAGTGTTGATGCGTTGGTCATCTCTGTGGAAAGGAACGTAATTGTTCCTTCTTGGTTCAAACCTTCCACTGCTGCTGCGTTGCTGATGCTGCTGCTGTTGAGTATTGTATGGTTTCTGGTTCATGGGTGGCCTCCATTGGGGGTTATGGTTCTGATCTTTGGTGATAGTTCCTCCAGGATTTGACGTGTTATTATGTCCTGCTTGTTGGTTGTCTCTGGTGAAGTTATTGTTGCCAAAATTTTCTGCATAACACACCAATGCAGTGGATGGGCAATCTGTTGAGTCATGAAGGTCACCACAGGCTGAGCATGGTTCTGTTCCAGCTGCTGTGAGTTGTAAGACTTCCATCCTTGGTGCTTCTTGGTTAGCTTTCAGGTTCTTTACTTCATTCATGAGTGAGGCTAGCTGGGCTTCCATGGCAGTTTGTTTATCTAGTTCTAGCATGCCTGGCTTCCTTACTGGGTTCACTCTGTCTATTGACCATTGGAGACATCTTTCAGCAGTTCCTTCTATGATTTCATACCTTGATTCAAGTGTTCCTGTAAAAAAATATCCTCCTGCAGCAAAATCTAAATAAGATTGAGAAGTGTGGTCAAGTCCTTTATAAAACGATTGTAACACTCCCCAACTCTCTACCCCATGGTTTGGACACTTACTGATGATGTCCTTGTATCTCTCCCATGCCTCATATAGATTCTCTCCATAAAACATTATGAAGTTAGGGATTTCTGCTCTAACATCAGCTTGTCGAGACATGGGGAGAAACCTCTCTATGAATTTGTTAGATAGCTCTTCCCATGTGTGGATTGATCCAGGGGTGAGAGTTTTCATCCATGTTTTTGCTTTTAAGCCCAAGGAGTGAGGGAACAACCTCATTCTCATGCTTTCTTCTGTCACACCCTCAGCTTTGAAATTATCACAAATATATTGGAATGTGGTGAGGTGTGTGTAAGGATCTTCTGCAGGGAGTTCATTAAAGATCCCTGCTTCCCTAATCATGTGAAACAGATAGGTTTCAGTTCAAAATTGGGTGCTACAGGAGGGAGGATGACTCCCCTGTCTGGTCTATTCCTGAAAGGAACAACCAAAGTTCTGAAATTATGTTCAGGAGGAATATCTTCATTATTGTTATGATCAGCCATGTTTTCAAGAATTTCTTCCCTGAGATTCCTTCTTCTTCTATGAAGAGTAAGTTCTGGTTCAGGATCAAAGGGAAACTCAGGTACTTCACTGGAGTGGTTAGAGTCTGTTTCTGACTCTTCACTCATAAACCATAAAGACAAGTTATATATACAGCAGATTTAGTGAAAATAAAATAAAAGTAAAGTCAAATATACAGGGTATGTACTAAAAACAGTAAATAAGAACAAAATTTAGTGTTGCTATCCCTGGCAACGGCACCAAAAACTTGTTGGGTGGTTTGCTGATGGTGGAAAAAGATAAGTTCTAATGGGGGACGTTCCTCTGTTCTAAACAGAACACAGATTCGCTCCCTTACTTCCAACCCAAGTGCGCAAGTGCATGCATCAAGTAATAAAGGGTGTATTAAGGCCCAGATTATCGTTCCCAGGAGGATAGAACTCTAGATATTGTCTGATACTGTTTTATAAAGAATGAAAATGAAAAGAAAAGTTAGTGAATGAACTGTCTGGTCAAACGTTCCTTACTGTCTTGACAACGTTCCTCAGGAACAGTAAGTTCAATCTGATGACAAACAATTGCTCGCTACGTTATGTATATGATCCTTCCTGATTAGAAGAAGGTGAGATAATATTCATTGGAGTTTGATAGATAACAACTTAAAATAAAGTATAGATATTTAAACAGAAATAACTATAATTAAGAGACAACAAGTGGATGGTTTTAAAACAGTTTGACAGAAGGAACAGATTCACTGCTCCATTCTTAAATAGCTATTTTCTCTACTGAAGACCTAGCACTTTTTGGCTTTGTCCCAGTTTCTTATCTGCCAACTCTGATTCCTCAGCTCATGGACTAGATAGCTCACAAGTTTCCATATTCCTATGGCTCCCTTGACTCCAACAGGTACTTAGTACAGAACCTGAAAATGGACGAGTTGGCCCTTTATTCCTAAGGTGACCAGTAGTGTTTTTGCCATGACACTACCTTCCCCCAATGGCTAAGCTATCTGAAATCCCTTCCTTATAGAAGTTCCTTTCTCAGTATGTGTTCAATTTCTATTGATACACAATGAATATAGCTTACTTATCCAAAGAAATACAAAAAGAGCTTCAGTCAAGAGTTTTGCAAATAGTTATTTAAGATTTTTGCAGTTTATCCGTTCCACAGATAGTTCAGCCCATGGCTGATATTTGAAACATAATTATTCCAATCTAAAATCCCATAGACCCGAGATTCAGCTTAGAGATAACGAATGGAACGAAAAGAATAAACACTTATATTAAATTAAAAGACAATTTACACAAAAACAGAAAATGGAGAAGGATGGTTTGATGCTCGTGAGGAGTCTTAAGGGTTGATATAGAGAAGAGAAGAGGGGTTGTCACTTAGTTACAGTTACAACTTAAATAAAACTAAGCTACTACTACTACTAGGTGATCTTCTTCCTTTAGGACTTCAATCCCTCCATAATTCAATGATGTTTTTGTGTGTGGAACGTCCTATTTATAGGGAGAAGAGGAGTGGCAGTCTTGTAATTCCTTTGGAGCAGGGTTCTTGTGTGAAGGGGCGTGGCGGTGGCAATAGAGTGTAGAAGATGTGCAATTTGTTGGATGGGACAGTATTTGTTGATGATTAGCCGTTCTTTGTAGTTCTTCCCATTCCTTGCTTTCTTCTTTGGCCAATGAGAACTCTTGATTCTCTGCTCTTCATGTTTCCTGGTGCTTAGTTGGTGCACCGCCTCTGCTTTTCGAAGACTTTGTATCCACGTTTCCTGCAAAATGTACAGAGGCATTAAATGAGTAGAGCAGGTGCATTAAATGCTTCTCAATCTGTTTCCCTTTTAATATATTTTAAGGAATACGTCACCATACGTCCCCCCACTGTGTTTTTGTCACAAATGTGTAAAACAAGTAATTTTCATGCTGAAGTTGTGCATCAGATGAGGGAACGTGCGGTATTTTGCCATCAAAATGGGCCTAGATGGGAACGAATTTACGTCCCATCAAGAACCTCACAAAAGGAAGCACACTTGGAGATGAGAGAATGATTGAATTGAATCAGATTTTTCTCCCAAAAATCTGACCTATGTAGCGCACAATGGTGGAGGAATAAGTGGAGTTGTTGCAATTCAAATCTAGCCAACAACCTCCTATCATATCCTCATCAGACTAAGTCTATACCTTGTCAAAAATCTGATTTAATAACCATCATATGGCCAGCCATATGGTGCGCCCTCATTCAGCCCAATAAGAGTCCAAATACATTGAGTAGCTGCATTCAAATTTGAACCAACTTACTCACTTATTCTCTCAACCAACCAAATTTGGTTGGAGCTTATTTGGTTGATCAAATGACCATCATAAGACCCCAAAATCAGCGCCCCAAATCAGCCTTGGATGATACCCAAAGATCTCCTCTTGATACTTGGGATTTGTTCCAACAAGATCTTATCTTATCCTTTTGTTATGAAACAACTTTTCATAGCCAATTCAAATTCGAATTCATACATTTAAATTCAAATTCAAAATTTAAATTCTAAATTTTAATATTTGATAATTAATTAAATTAATTAAATTAATTAATAATGTCTTGGACCATCCAAGCCCATTACATGTACCATGCGCCCTTTCCCTCTTAGGTGGGCTTCTAAACTTCTTCTTGGGCTAACAACCTTTATTAGGCTCAATACCTTTAATGCTATATTCATCAAGACAATAAGGTGTTAGTGTGTGACCCATTAGGCCCAACATAGCCACTGACATAAATGGGCTTGGGCCCAACAAGCCCACAACCCATTTAATGACAACACAGAGCACTAGCAATGCTTTGTTGCCCCAGAGCTAGTTAGGTTAATGACATGATCATCCTATTACATATATTTGGTTACCGTATGTATTTCCTTTCGTCTCGGTTACCTTCCTTTTAAACCTAGGGTGAGGAAATGCATCAACCCTTGCGGTTTAAGGTAAGCTTTAATTCGAAATAGGGAATCTTCAATTTACTGACTCTAAAGGCAGATTATCTCATGATCTCTTTTACTATGCATAGATTCCCAAGTCATGTAAATGTCATCCCGATTTCTCCGGTTTACAGATAACCTAATCCCTTACAGAGATTTGATGAATTCCTTCAGCTTATCACCCTAGGCCTGTGCTCTTTCAGGACATGCCCAAAAGTATACCTATGAGTCTCCATGTTTCAGGCAGACGAGGTATACAATCAAAACATGCCTTCTAGAACACAGTCTAGGTGACAACTTATGGTCTAAGGAAAGACATACCCAAATATTAAGAGACTGCTCTAATGCTACTTTTGTAAGATTTCCTCATAGAGTCTTTTTGTGGGTCTGTTCAGTGCGAGCTATACCCTTATAAGTCCACCCACGACTTTAGCTAAGACATCTCTATATCTGTAGCTCATGAGGTCTTTACCTTGTATCCGAATACAAGTAGATAAGTCGTGCTAGTCTTACCCGAGATTACTGATCCCCATTCTCAATGTCTCTAGACTAGGAACATAAAATTAGGAATAAACATCTGGTATCCTTAAATCCTCATGATCGCGATCTCATCACAGATACTCAAGAGATACCTGTTTTATTCCAAGGAGTTTATCCAGTTACTCATATAATATATTAACAATAATATTGAGACAAAATATGAAACAAGATAAAGAGTGGTTATTATTTATTTGCGACAATATAAAAAGGTCCACATATGTCCTAATCTAATCAAAAGAATGTCTTTAGAACATCCGTATACTAAGAGCTGGTTCTTACAAAAAGAGTCCATGTGATCATATTTGGATGGAATATATCTGTCATGTACAGATATAGATAGAATAGACATTGGTAGATTATTCAAAAAGTTTGTACATGTATGAGACTGTAAAGATTACAACAATTGAAATTAAAATTTTTTCGAGTGGCAATGCGGAGAATGATTATAAATATGTTAAGACATTAGATAACGTAAGAAAGTAGTGTTACCAAAAAAAAAAAAAAAAAAGTTTATCCACCGTTTTATATTATTAAAGGTAATACTTATGTTGTTTTTTTTTTTTTTTTAAAAGTTAATACTTATGTTAAGTCTTCTATTTAAATTATAGTTTTATGATGCACTAGTGTACAATATACAAAGGTTACATGTGGCATGTTTAACCAAACCAATTTTGTCTCTATAAATAACGAGTCAAGTTTCCCCATTCAAAATTCTTACCTCACTTGTCGCTATCCGCGTGATTCGGATCAACTATCATTACTATCATCGTGAAATGGTTGGAGGTTGTTCAAAATCCTGCTCCTGATTTTGTGGGCTTCACTTCGTGTAGCTTCCAATTTTAAGAATGTAGGACCCAGGTTTCCTCGGTCCGGACCAAAATTAAAGACGTACAACTTTATATTAGAACATAATAACATTAAATAATATAGGATCAACTTGCATGTAACTTTTAATCCAAAAATGTATCCATACATCTGCGGGGGAAGGATTCATTTACAAATTTTTTTGAATTTTTTTACAAATTACACTATGTTCTCCTGGGAGAACATAGTATAATCAGTCTTCTCCCGGGAGAAGATAGTGTAGTTTGTAAGAGTTTGTAAATAAAAAAGTTTATAAATATAACCTGTCCCACTTATTAATATTACTTTGAAGTATCGGTAGTGATCATACAATATTTCATGTAATATGTAAAGAACTTTGAGATACATCACTCAAAAACTAGCTCAAAAGGTGGGAGTACTTAAGTCCTTATAAATTTCACATTAGTTGCCACCTCACACGAGAGTCTATCTGTGTTAAGAAAGTCCACAAGAGAAAGTGGAGGGCGACGAAACTCTGATACCATGTAAAGAACCTTGGGATACACCACCCAAAAAACTAGCTCAAAATATGTGAGTGCCCAAGATCTTATAAACCTCACTTAATTGCACATACAACCAACGTGAGACTATATATCTTTAACATACTATTTGTTAGATTCGGCAAACACCCACGCAGACATTTAATTCTCGCTTCCAGTAAAAATCCACTGCCCAATGTTATGTTCTATATGTAATAATGTAAATCGCAAAATCAATTATTTCTTCCATGTAATGCATGCAAACTAAACTAAAGAAAAGCCAACCCCTGACAAAAAGCAATGACTCATAGTTATTACTTCAATCGAACTCCGTTATCCATTCTACTGACATATACAGTGCTCAAAATAACTCTTGCCCATAATCATAATAAAAAGAGTTGCTCAGCGTATATCTACCTAATAAATAAAGTTGTTGTGAAGTTTATGTCATTGAAAAGATTAACACATTTCCGAATTTTTTTGAGGGGAAATATCATTTTCACCGGTAGTGGTGTTGCTATGTATCACTTAAGCTCTTGTGGTTTCAAACTTATTATTAATACTCATTGTGACAAGTTTATCATTTAACTCTACGTGATTTTAAACTTTCACTTACATTCATAGCGGTGGTAAAAAATAAAAATATTTAACTTAAACCCCTTATGATCTTATAAATATAACATTTTTTATGTTTCTAAATTGTTATCTTATATAATTATGATATTATCAAATATACTTTTAACAAAATAAATTATAAAAATCAAATTAAAATTTATTTAAAGTTATTTGTCTTAAATTATTTTTAAAAAATCTTAAATTTTTTATTTATTTGAAAAATATATTTAAAACTAATATTATTAATTAAATACGTATTATCTAAATAAATTACTTATTTTAAATTTATTATTTTTTGAGAATATTGTAATGATATCAGATAAATAAATTAAATATTCCTTTTTCATTTTTTCAAAGATTAAAATTTTAATTTTTTTACTTTAAATAATAAAATATAGTAAAAAATGTTTGCATAACATTTTGCTTCAAAACAATTTCCCCCCCTGCAAAAGCAATTAAATCTCTTAAATATATATTAATTGAGCTAGCGATCAATTTTATAGACATTTGGATTCCATATTAACATATTGTTGTTGAAGGTTTTTGATACGAGAGTAATCATATTAAAGGGTTCCAAAAGGATTGGCATATTCAGTTTGTCCACACTTATAGAGAAGAAAATTATGTTGCTGACTGGCTGGCGAATTATCCCCTGGACAATACTACTGCTCCTGATATGTCTAGCTTTGTTATTCTCCCTTTGCAGATTCAATCTGTTTTTATTGCTGATTTAGCCTCTGTTTGTAGAGCTCGAACAGTGACTGTTTTGTAGATTTTTGCTGGGTTTTCCTCAGCATACCAAAAAAAAAAAAAGGAAAAGGAGATTAACGTTAGCAAATGGTAGCTCAATTTGCCCCTGAGCTCTCAAGGATTTGCTTGAGTTAGGGAAACCATGCTTTAAGCAAATTTTTGAAAAAAATTTGAGGTCAGGGGACGTGCATCTCTCCTCCAATGAGGGAGTAGCCTATACGGCCGTACTCCAAGGGCAAAACGATCGGAGGAGGTTGAATGGGGATACCACTACGTTATTTATCATTTTGATCTCAATAAATGTATTTATTATTATTATTTATTTATATGCATAGATAATTGAGGATTTGTTTTCTTAATTTTTCTTGAACAAACCACAAATTAAATATCCTATACGAGAGTCAATCATCTACACATTCACATTATGATGGAGTCAGCTCTTCCAAAAAAAAGAAAATTTTTTACATTTACAAAAAACTTAAATTCAAAATCTTATTTAAACGAAATCAAATATGTATTATTTGAACCAACCCCTCATGTTTTCTTAATTTTTCTAATGCATAATAGGAATACTCGTTTTTTCTGTTGAACGAATCTTAGGAGTCAATAAAAAAATAAAAAATATCAAGGCTATTTATCTTTTCATGTGAGCTCCACGTTGACTTTTCGTTGTACATTTATCCTTTTTCCTTCTTTAACTCACATATTCAAACATAGCTATTTTATTTAATGGCGGACACTGATTGTAATTAAATCCAAAGCTAACTCCTGACAAAAGCGTTAATTAATAGTTATGAGTTCTATCTCCCACAAACTACCTTTTAGCTTTCTTTACCAACTTATACAGTACCTAAAATAATACTTTCCTTTTTACCAAAAAAAAATAAAATAATAATAAATCTTGCCTAAATAAATAAATAAAAAGAAAGAACACTTGCCCAACTCGAAGTATTATTCCCTACGGCCATGTTTTGCACCCCTCGTTCCTATATAAGGTCAAGTACATGGTATCTCAGACAAATAACAAAGCCTTTTGCATCGAGGGTTTTAGAATCCTAGAGCTTCAGAAATAACAACCGCAGCACCTTCCCCCCTCTCCAATGTTGAAGCATTTCCAGCTTATGTACTACTTTTTTACATCTAATAGAATGAACATTTTGTTCATGTCCCTTCTAGCTGTAGCTGCAGCTTCTATTTATGCTCCTGATTTTTATCCACATCCTTCAATGATAATAGCGTTTTGCTTAACTGCATCCCTAGTATACTACTTCCTCATCAGCAAACCCAATAAAATATACTTGGTAGACTTTGCATGCTACAAACCAAGCATTTCTTGTCTTTGCACCAAGGAAATGCTACTTGACCGAGCCAAGCATGTTGGTTTTCTGTCAGAAGAGAATGTCAAGCTCGTGACTAAGATAATAGATAGGTCTGGGTTGGGACCACTGACCTATGTCCCAGAGGGACTATTGGAGATCCCACCAAAGCTTACTCTGGATGAGGCAAGGAAGGAAACAGACACAGTGCTTTTTGGGGCTGTTGATGAGCTCCTGGAGAAAACAGGAGTTGAAGCTAAGGACATAGGGATTCTTGTGGTGAATTGTTGCTTGTTCAATCCCACACCATCCCTATCGGACACGATTGTGAATCACTACAAGCTTAGAGGGAACATATTGACCTATAATCTTAGTGGTATGGGGTGCAGTGCTGGTGTTCTTGCTGTAGACTTTGCCAAACAGCTACTACAGGTTTTCTCTCATCTCGCTTCCTTGCCTTACGATATGTATTTTACTTTCATCGATCATTGCCATCACAGACATAGCACAACACATATCTCGAATTATTTATCAAAATTGTGTATCTTCCAAGATTGGTAAACGTTCTTTCACGGTTTCGATTTGATGCAGTTGCACCATATTATAATATCGATCCGGCAATGCACTTTTTTTTTTTTTGGTAAGCTCCGGCAACGCACTTTAATTTGTGTATTAAAAGTGTAAGTCGGGTCTATGGAGAGCAGGGACTATCACCGATAGACTAAGCTAGGTCAATCATACTAAGTGGATCCGATATCACAACATAATCCTAAAATCTTAAAGCATTAGGTTCTTGGATCCTCTCATTTATATACGTTGTTTCACTTTATTCATTATTAACCACTGTGAAACTCATCACGCTTGAATACTCTAAAAAAAAGCATTATTATCCTTTGATGTGTCACATCATTATAATTATAGTATCCCAAAGGTATGTATATCACAACTTTTGTTTCATAACTTGAAAAGTATATATATGGGTAATGTTTTTGCAGAGATTTGTTTTTAACAGCGACATTTTGACAGAGGAGGAGGGTCACACATGTAAAATAAAGTTGATAGAATATATGCTTATTCAAGGGTGGTTGTTAGATAAGACAAAATGATATGAACCGATCATAAATAAAAGGAACCACTTATTCTCTTTTCTATTCTTTCAAATGACTATTTAATGACTGTAGCAATTTACATTATTAGGCCACAATTAAATGACTATAGTGTTTTACAATAGACCAAAAAAAAAAAAAATCTTCAAAATTTAACTAATTAATATTCAATATCCTGCCTCTATTTCCTCAGTCCATTTGATTATTACATCCAACAGGCACACCCAAACTCATATGCTTTAGTGCTGAGCACAGAAAATGAAATCTCAAGCATGTACTGGGGCAACAACCCTTCAATGCTTCTTGTTAATTGCCTATTTCGTATGGGTGGATCTGCAGCCCTGCTCTCAAGCCATCCTTCTGACTGCTACCGCTCAAAGTATCAGCTCATCCACACACTGCGTACCCATGTGGGTGCTGATGATAATAGCTACAAATGTGTCTTTCAGGAAGAGGATGCTGACCAGAAAATTGGCGTTTCACTTTCCAAAGACCTCATGAATGTTGCAAGGGATGCACTCAAGGTACACATCACATCACTTGGGCCAGTAGTCCTCCCCATCTCAGAAAAGCTCAAGTTTTTGGCAAATCTAGTGGAGAGGAAGCTCTTCAAGACGAAGATGGAAGCCTACATGCCAAATTTCAAGCTAGCCTTCAAACACTTCTGCATCCACACAGGAGGTAGGGCAGTTCTAGATAGGATGCAGAAGAGTCTTGAGCTTGATGACTGGCATATGGAGCCTTCAAGAATGACACTTTACCGTTTTGGAAACACATCATCTAGCTCTGTGTGGTATGAGTTGGCTTATTGTGAGGCCAAGGGAAGAATCAAAAAGGGAGATAGGATATGGCAAATGGCATTCGGATCTGGATTCAAATGTAACACTGCTGTGTGGCTTGCGTTGAATACTATTGAACCGGCATCGAGGAAAAGTCCATGGAGGGATGAGATTGATGATTTCCCTATTAAAGTTGATCAACCAATGCAGAGTAACAAGTAATTCAATAAGATAAAATTGTGGTTTAGAATTTTTATTATAATCACCAGGATACGGATTAAGATAATTACTATTTAAAACTTGATTACTTTAATGTCATGTTAACGCTTTATGTCCCACTAAATTAGGTTCATATGTGTGTTTTTATATTATTTTAAAAGAATTGTGTACTTCACTTCTTGGCTTTAATGAACTATGTGCGTTTGCCGTCTTATTGATTCCCAACCGTTCTCTATCAATCACTGTCTTTTTTTTTACTAGTTTCTTTTTATGATATAAGATACATTTTGATTACAATTGAGAGACAACAACAAAGAGAATAAACAGTCTTGATCAAGTGTAAAATACATTAAATGTGTACAAAAGAATGAAGAATCTCCTAAAATAACAAAGAAAAAAGTATAAATTTATACGATAGAGCCACAAAAGAAGAAGAATGTTATAATAAAGTAACAGCAACATAGATGAGTTTTGAAGACAACAATAAATTAAGAGCAACAATTAAAAATTAGAAGAGCAAAATTAAGATAAAAAACAATAAATCATGGACAACATTTTTGAAAAAGCTAAATGTCACAAGTTATGGTAAATGAGAAAAAAGTCCATCAAATTATAAAGTAATTGCTAAATAAACAAATCAAAGCATCAAAATTAAGTGAAGAACCAAGATCAAAGCTTAATGCATTAATCTAAGTCCAAAAGCTTATTCGGATTATATTTTTAGGATTTAGAATTGATTGTAACAGTATATGTGATATTATATTGCAGTACCTCAAAGCGGTTTTCAAATTGCGTATTTTAAAATCTATGAAATCTTTGGATATATAAATCTTTTACAGATTGATGGGAAATGCTTTTAAACAAATTTTAATATTCTACAGATCTTCCAAGAAAAGGAGTGAAAGAGAAAGTATTTTCTATCTTGCATGTTGAAAACAAAAATGAAATCCTTGGTTTGATCTCTCAAATATGAGTGGAAAAGACTTTAATATGTTTTGAACACAGACATTTATCCATAGTCCAATTTTATGTGTTTACAATATTTGAATTTACTCTCCTAACCCTCAATATCCACTTGAGTAAATACCTCTAGAAAGCCCACAATGGCTATAAATGATTATATTTCATTGGAAACACAATAAAATCAACTCCAACAACTCTTAAAATTCCTACATATCTTATACATATTTTGAAAGAATTTACACTATAAATCACATATTATTTTTTCTATTCCAAAGATTTATTGCAAAGCTCATACACATTTGAGCTCATTTCTTGAAAAATCATTTATCCATAGTACTTCAATTTGTATTATTCACACTTGGAGAGTTTATGTCATTTCTTATGCACATTCCAAACTGTAAATTCATGATTATGGTTAATGAGACCCAAAAGTTAATAAGGTTTTCCACTACTCGAAATTTTCACGATAGATTTGTAAGGTTGTCAAGGACTCAAAAACATGGTGGATTGCAACAATTTGTTTAAGAACCCATTCAAGCTTGACAAATAGTGAAAAATCATGGGTCTTTGCTCAAGTCTTGGGTATAAGTCGCAAGTGGTGGTGGCTAACTAGGATAAATAAAATTTGCAATCTCATCAACCCTTGCTCATTATTTCTCTCTCTTTAATTGCTTCATTAATATCTAGTATATGTGCTAGTATAGATTATATTATTGTGATATATTATGTATTTCGGGTTGCTTGAACATATTGATAACTTTTTGCCATATCAATTTTTTTTGAAAATGTAATTTAAAAAAACAATAAGACATTTGCAAAACATTTATCATACTCAATTTACCCCACCCCCACTTTGAGTATAAAAGCCACATTCAAAACATAATCTTCACAGACTAAAATTATATCTACACAGTGATGCCTTCGCATTCTCTCTCCCCCCCCCCCTCCCGGTTCATTTTTCCATTTACTCCACGGTGGATGGTGAGAGTGGGGCAACACTCATTTTCTTTGTTCATTTTTCCATTTACTCCACGGTGGATGGCGAGAGTGGGGCAACACTCATTTTCTTTGTTCAAAGTGCTTGCTGCAACGACTATGCAAAGTGTACCGTTGGAATCTATAAGCCCACTATGTTCCCTTTGAGGATGATGTCACTATATGGATGACACCTCTAGCTAAGATAAACACCAGGCTAGAAGGTATTGTTCCAAGTATGAAGCAAGTTAATAACAATGGAAGAAGAGTGTGTGGGTATGTGACTTAATACAAATGGGCATAATAACGATACATAAGATCCCTTCATGGTGTGCCCCCGGGGGCTATTTATAGGGAAAGGTGGTGTGTAGGGGTGAAACTGGGTCGGGCCGGCCCACAGGGGCCTACGGCTCGGCCTACGTCAGGCCAGACCTGACCTAGTATATTTCGTAAAATAGGCCGAACTTGGGCCTTGAAAAAGCTTGTTTACTAAAAAGGCCGTAGGCCCACTTTCACAAGGCCTGACCTATACGCCTACAGGCCGGCCTATATTGTACTATTTATTTTAAATAAAATAAAATAGAATAAGTATGCCTTGAAGAAAAAATAAAAGATATAAATTTAATCAATTGTAATTATTTATAACTTAATTATATTCGATTATATTTTTATAGAAATCTAACTTTATTTCTTATATAGGAGGAACCAACATCTCAACATGTTAAATTGTGTATATGAATATATTAAAAGGTTTTTGGGAGAGGTTATACTTACTACAAACATCATGATGTGTTGTTGGATTCATGTAATTATTTTAATTTTCGTAGTATGCATTTTGCTTTTGAAAGTGACTTAAATGCATATTGTATGAGTTTTGTTGTGATTCATGATTTTGTTTAGATGTTGAAATTATGATTTTTGGTTTAGCAACAAAATTTGAGTATTTTGTAAAGTTGATTCATGGTTTTGTTTGAATGTTAAAAATTAACAGGCTAACAGGCTAGGCCAGGCTATTTGTTTTTCATAAAAGGGTCAAGTCAGGCTAACAATTAGACTCGTAATAGGCTTGGGCCAGGCCAAATTGAAATCTTTTGGCGTAGGCTTGGGCTTTTCGGGTCAAAGCTTGGCCCAGCCTAGCCCACTTTCACCCCTAGTGGTGTGTACTTGGTGTGGGTTGGTGAGGAAAGGGTCAACCCTCCTTGGGATTCACTACTGATGGCAGTGTTGGGCGTGGCAGGCGCTGCTGTTGTAGCAGCGCTGTGACTTCTGCACCTGGCAGTGTCAGTGTGGGACAAAGGGGGCAGTTTCCTTTTAAGGTGCCTGTGTAGGTCGCCTTTGGGGGTTAAGGTTCCCAGGTAGGACGTTTTGGTGCTTCTCCTTGGTAGCGTCGTCGCAGTGGGGGATGAGGGGATCTTGGACAGCTCTTAGCGCTGACGTGGGTTGGAGCCTAAAGTTGGGCTTGAACCACTGGGCCGCCAATTGTTGGGCCATCCGGAACAGGAGCCCCCCAGCTTGGTAGCAAGCGTAGGTTGGTGCCAAGGTAGAATCGTTGGGCGACAGGTTCCTGGCGATCACCAGGACCAATCAACCGGTGCTAGTGGGGACGGGACAGATGGGCATTGTGTTAGTACATAGGTGTCCTAGAGACAATCTGAGAGTCAGATGGACCCATGTACTTCTTTATTTGTTATGAATAAATATTATGAATAAAAGCATTATTTATCTTGTTTCATATTGCATGTCTCAAATATTGAATATGAGTAACTGGATAAAGCCCTTGGAATGGAACATGTGTCGCATTGAGGATTTGTGATAGGGATTACGATCATGAGGGCTCAATGACACCACACGTCCATTGCCAGAAATATGTTCCTAGTCTAGAGATATCGATAATGGGCATTGGTGATCTCGGGTAAGACTAGCACGACTCAGCTACTTGCATGGAGATGCAAGGTAGAGTCCTCGTGTGCTACAGACATGGGGATGTCTTAGCTGACTCGTGGGTGGACCTGTTGGAGAATAGCTCGCACTGAACTGACCCACAAAGAGACACTACAAGGAAATCTCATCGATAATATCAATAGGTAATGTCTCTTATTATTTGGGTGTGTCTTTCCTTAGACCTAACGTTGTCGTATAGACCTGTGCTCTGGAAGGCTTGCTTTGATTGTATATCTTGTCTTCCTGAAAGATAGAGACTCATAGGTATACTCTTAGGCATGCCCTAAGGACTCAGGGCTAGTGTGACAAGCTAAAGGAATTCGTCAATTGACACGAGCTGTCGAACTCGCGCAAATTAAAAATTATTTTTTATTAGGGTTCAGAAAATTTGTAGTAAAGTGGAAACCCTAAGTTGCCTCTCAAGGAAATTGTTTTGGTAAAAATCGCTTATGATGACAGAAAATTAAAAGGGGGTTTTGGATTTTGATTGAATAATTAAAAAGGCAGAATATAAATTTGGAATAAAAATTCGTAATTAAAAATTAACCAACCTAAGGTTAGGGTTCCATGGACGTCTTTCCTCGGATAAAAAGATATCAGAATCGTGATTGATCGTCAATCGAATAAGAATCCTTATTTCCAATTGACAACCCTCTCTAAGCGATCGCTTAGCATTTGATCAAATACGGTGCTTCTACTAATACAATCGCAGAGTATCAGCCCGTTTGATTTAAGGTCATAGGGTCAATCAATCTAACCATCAAATCTGATGATTAATCCCTTTCCATAATTGCAATCGCGAACCTCAGATTGAATATCCACGATCGCACGATATCAATCTGAGTTGGGAAGGGAAACGAAACGGATTTAAAATAAAGCGCAGACCCTCAAGACTAATCCATGGAATCTGTTACCCTTAGGTTGATTAAAAGGTTCTTAGCCTCGCATGGCTAAGGTAAACATGATTAAAATAAAATAAAAAGAAGAAGAAGAAAAAGATGAAGAACGCGAAGAACGCTCCAGAGAAAGTGCTTTGATCCCAAAATACGAAAATTCAGTATGAATAAAGTGTTTTCTACTCTGCCGTCATATACCCCTTCCCAAAGCGGGTTAGGGTTCAGTTC